GCCTGAATATTTGTTTGCTCCTATCCATACTTGTACTAGAACTATCGCAACAGTGGTTATATTCTGTCTCGTCAACTCCTTGTAAATTCTAGAGCACCTTGTATCCTAGCATACCACCCAGCATCCACCAGACACACCGTAAATGCTCACTAATGGCTTCTAAGGGAAATCTATTGGCTTACCAAATCTTAATGACCCACTTCTGGATTTCCCACTTTCTCAAAGAGAGGCTTTGGAAGGAGTTCCCATGGAATCCTACTTTAGACAAGGCCATAAATATTCTGAGGGGCAAATAAACTCAGCATGGATGCCAGACAATAGACGTATTGACTGCAAACGAAATTACAAAGAGGACTTTGGAGCTTGAAAGAGAAACCTAAGTTGAGTTTATTTTCTAGATAACTAGGATTAAATAGGGCCAGCCCATTAGCTAGTACCAGAATTTCTAGACCTGGCTGCAGAAACCCACAGAGCCTGGAGAAAGAACATTCGGTGACTTCCCAGGACCACAAGGTAAGACTTCTGTGAATTCTCTTGCAAGACTCTGACAGAGCCTGGGTAGCACCAGCAGAGGCGTGGACCTAGGCAGTCCCTGGGGAGTGTCTCTTGGTAACTGCAAGGAATCAGGGGTTCAGACATAGAATAGTGCCCTCCAGCAAGACAGGCATGCAGCACCCCATCCTTGGAGGCACTGGGAGGCTGGGAAATAATTGAAGAGTCACGACAGGTTCCTAAATTGAGCTCCTGTATAGACACAGAAGTCTTAAGATAGAAGCCTGGAGACTCTGCAAGGCATCTTCTGGCTGCCCTGCTCCCTGAGCCCAGCTGTAGGCACACTGTGATCCGGTCTACTTAGGACCTCAGTCTAGAACTGGTAGAATGGCTTCTGATGGAACCACTTAACCACTTTCTTTGTCCCAACATTTTCCTCACAGGAGGTAAAACAGTAGGAGTCCCAGGAGCATCCCTCACAGGGTCCAGCTGTTTGTGCCAAGCGTCAGGTCTACAGTTGTATTTTCAATGTGTTTTTCACATGCTGAAGGAGGAGTCCTGCTCTGAAAAAAAAGGAAGATAGAAATAATATATTTTTTAATATCACGAAGCAGAGTATAACATTTAGCATCAGGGAGACTTTCAATTCTCGGAATTCAAATCTCAACTTCAGCATTTCCTAGCTGTGTCACTATGGTCAAGGTACTTAACCTCTCTGTGCTTCAGATACTTTGTCTGAAAAATGGTCCTAACAATAATGTATTGCTGGGGGAACTGCCTCATAGCTACAGGGTGTGACTCATCAATATCCAAGGATGCTGTAGTGATTATTTTAAACCACTCTCTTGGGAAACCTGTTAATCCTTCAAGGAAGCAAGGAATGTCAAGGTCTAAGGCAGAAGTGGCTCACACTGCCTGCACAGTCTCTATTCATGCAGCTGGACATTCCGCCATCCATATGTCACCTAGTAGATAGAACATTTCTTCTGGGAAATAAAAACATAGTGAAATGCAAATAGCAGCCAGAAAGAAATAAATCTGAGTCTCAGATATACTCCTATGAGTTGCATAATTGTAGGCAAGCGATTCTGCTTTCAGAGCCTTGTTCTCCCTACTTTGCAAAGAGGCGAGTCAGAACAAAATGAGTGAGAAGAGTGGGGTGAATGCCTTAGCCACCAGTGACAGTTGTTTTTCCTTTGGAAGAGTCGCGCGGAAAGGGACCTCAGAGACCAGCTAGATTTTCAAATAAGGAAAAAGCTAAGAATTTCCTGAAGCTCTGTAAAACCAATATTTTTAACTGTTGGGATCCGAGGAAAGAGAAGTGAAACCACAATGGAGAAGTGTAGGGCACGTCTGCATGGAAGTGGTTCTCAAGCTTCAGCAGCATGGATCACCTGGAGGGCGTGTTCAAACCCAGATGGCTGATCCTTGCCCCTGGACTTTCTGGTAGTTCTGGAGAGCGGACCAAGAATTTGCCTTTGCCACAAGTTCCCAGTGATAATGAACTTGGGATTATCAAGTATAATCCAGAGACCACACTTTGAGATCCACCGATATTAATACTAAATCAAAATAGCTTGAGATCAATGAGGAAAAATATTCAAAACAATGGCCCTTCTCTTTTTTTTAAGATTGAGGTGACACTTTTTATTTTTATTTTATTATTTTATTTTATTTTTACTTTAAGTTCTGGGATACATGTGCAGAACGTGCAGGTTTGTTACATAGGTATACATGTGCCATGGTGGTTTTGCTGCACCTATCAACCCATCAGCTAGGTTTTAAGCCCCCTATGCATTAGGTATTTGTCCTAATGCTCTCCCTCCCTAGCCCCCGCCCCCTGACAGGCCCCAGTGTGTGATGTTCCCCTACCTGTGTCCATGTGTTCTCATTGTTCAGCTCCCGCTTATGAATGAGAACATGTGGTGTTTGGTTTTCTGTTCTTGTGTTAATTTGCTGAGAATGATGGTTTCCAGTGTCATCTGTGTCCCTGCAAAGGACGTGAACACATTCTTTTTTACGGCTGCATAGTATTCCATGGTGTATATTGCCACATTTTCTTTATCCAGTCTATGGTTGATGGGCATTTGGGTTGGTTCCAAGAGTTTGCTAAACAATGGCCCTTCTCTTATGGGTGGTCTTTTCCTTTCAACAAGAACAAATATTAACTGTTTCCTCTTCCTCTGTGCCACATTCTGTGCTGCCAGTTTTCTCACTTAATCTTCAAAACACCCTTTGGACAAGGTGCTATTACTATTCATCTTTTATAGATAAGAAACTGAAAGCGTATGCAACTTGCTCAAGGTCGTACAACTAATAAATGAAGGAGCTGAGAAGTGGACTCAGGGCTGTCTGAAATCTTAACCCTGATATTGTCTTGCCTTTGAGTTTACTTTCTAGATGATTAATATTAAATAGTGCCAATCCATCAGCTAGCACCAGACTCAAGATGACTGTTGACAATTTGGAGTGTTTTTCTCAGGATGCAGTTGGGACGGGGGAGTCATTTAGACTTGTGATTTGGAGAGGACAGAAAGCCCCCTGAGAACATACTTCTGGGTTCCTGCACACATTATTTCCTGCCATAGGTTCTGGTGTCTTGCCAGTAAGGAATGTATAACATATGTAGGGAGATAAGACCACCAGCCACAACAATTAACAGGTAAAGTACACAAGTAACCTTACCTCTCATCTGAAAGGGATATCTTTCCATCTAATAACATCTTCAGTGTTCTGAGGGCCACACGCCTACTTCCTCCCATTGCACACTTGCTTACCAGCATTGAACAATTAATTAACTCTCTAAGTCCAGCTTATCAGTTCTTATCAAATCAGGACAATATCTCAGGTCTCCCATCAAGTGATTCCCTTCTCAACTTTTTCTAATGCTCAAGATTCAGTAGAAACTGCAGGCTGTTAAGGGTTTGATCACTCTTATACTCTCTAGGACCCTGGACCATAATGATAACGGTTTAAATACAAGGAAAATGCAGCAAAACTTCTACATGGTCCTAATCCCAACACCGACATGGACGAGACCCATGAAGAGATGGAAAGGGACGGTCATTCCCAGGCCACTTGGTCCATGGTCCCTCCTGGGATGTCAAGGGCACCCAGGAAGCCTGGGAAAGACAGTTAGTTTTTTCACTCTGAAACCAATTAATGTTGAAAAATTATACACACAAAAAAAAAAAAAAAAACCTTAATTAAATTAAACCCCTAAGTGAGCTAAGTAGTTAGAGCCTTCAAAAACAGAAGTAAAGCTGGGACAAATGACAACCTGGAACCACTAAGCAGCCATTAAAAAGGATGAGTTCGTGTCCTGTGCAGGGACATGGATGAAGCTGGAAACCGTCATTCTCAGCAAACTGACACAAGAACAGAAAACCAAACCCTGCATGTTCTCACTCATAAGTGGGTGTTGAACAATGAGATCACATGGACACAGGGAGGGAACATCATGCACTGGGGTCTGTGGAGGGTGGGTGGCTAGGGAAGGGAGAGCAGGGGGTGGGGGTATTGGAGAGGGATAACATTAGGAGAAATACCTAATGTAGATGACAGGGGGTGGATGCAGCAAACCACCATGGCATGTGTATACCTATGTAACAATCCTGCATGATCTACACATGTACCCCAGAACTCAAAGTATAATAAAAATAAAATAAAACAAAAAATTTTTAGAAAGAGCATCAGGGACCAAGGTTGTGTGTGTGTATGTGTGTGTGTGTGTGTGTGTGTGTGTGTGCCTGCCTGTGTCTGTCTGCCTGTGTCTGTGTATCTGTCTTCCTCCCTCCTTCCCCCTCTCTCTGTCTCTCTGTATATGTGTGTCTTTCTGCCTGTCTGTGTCTGTGTATCTATCTTCCTCCCTCCTTCTCTCTTTGCCCCTCCTCCTTTCCCTCTCTTTCTCCTTCTCTCCTCTTCTTTTATTTCTCCCTCCCCCAACACTTCTCAGCTTTATTCTCTTCACTCTGCTAACTGATGTTCTCTGCTCGCCCTGCACACAACATAAAAGTGACCCCTCCAGCTCTGCAGAGCCTCCTATCCCACAGTAGTCCTTGGGTCCAATTCCAAATTCCCGGGAGGAAGAAGTTACCAGAGCATTTGGGGTCAGTTGTTCATCCCCAGATCAATCAGCTGAGGCCAGGGCAGGGGGCAAGATGGGAAGGTAGCCTGTGCCCACTCAACAAACTCGAGGCAGGCAGATTAAAACGCCCACTGCAGGGGGCTAAGCAAAGCCACCACCCAGATTGTGAACAAAGGGTCTACAAGGAGCTAAGTAGCCTCAGGAAACCTAGTCTTGCAAATCCAAACCCATTAAAGGAAAGCAGTATGTTCCAAGAACACAGACTACAAGAAAGGCTAGAAGTTTATTTTGTCTGTACCATGGTAGGTGATTCTTACTTTAATGAAATGAGACTAAAGATAAGAATGAGATAAGATGCATTATTCATTTTGTCAGAAGAGGGAAATGAACCTTCTTATGTGTTTTGCAGCAGTTGTACCCCATGACGGAACAAGTGATTGTAGCCAACAGTGTGCCCGGCATTACTGCCCCAGGTAATATTCATGTCATCCAGCCCAGCTACTCTGTGGCCTCTGGAAGTCATGTGCAGCCTTCAGGGGTGACCACTTACCCAGTCTCACCAAAAGTAATCCAGTGTGCTACAGGAAGAGCAAACTTACAGAACCAATTCGTGGTGGACCAGAACCCAGTGGCAGGTGCACAGAGTCAACCCACTGGGTATCAGCAACAGTATCCGGGGGGAGCAGCCAGTTTGCAGACTGTGCCTGGGGTGATCCAGTACACACAGAGAATGACGAATTTCCAGACCCGGCCTGGAGACCCTCAAAATCCTCTGAATGCTAACCCTGGGATGACACCCACCTCAAACTCGTTCCAATGGAACATGTCATTTTCATCATTTACTGCATTTGATCCCAAGAAATTCATCAATGAGGAGGTCAGAACATTAGGGGTGAGTGCGATTTCTTCTTCTTTCCGATTTGGGTCACTTCAGAAGTCCAGGTCTACTGCTCTGGGATGAGGAAGGGAATATGTTGAGAGGGCAAAGGGCAGAAGGAGTGAGTGTGGGGGGCGATTTCTGGAGGCTGGACGCAGCACAGTCCCCCAGATACCAGCCCCTCTTCCCTGTCTTCCTCTCACTCCTCAAGGAGACCCATATTCTTTGGAAGAGGCTGAACAATCAATGACCACCCCTCCCCAGATAGCTATCGGGGCATGGGTCAGCAACAGTTCTGCTAAAAAAGACCGCTGACCAGGGAGTCAGGCAATCCAGGGCTCAGGCCAGCTAGATTTGCTGAGCAGCCTTGCAGACATCTCTTCCCCACTCTGGGCCTCCATTGCCTCATCTTTACAATAAGAAGATCCAGCTTTCTTAAATTCACCCTAGCTCTGAAGTTTTGTGATTTCCTCTTCAATCCTGCCTCTTTCCTGACTCCTCCAGATTTATTTCACATCTTGCAAAGCTCAATTTGATTCTGTTTTTGAGGCAGAAGCCAGATCCCACTGAATGCTCAGCCAACTCCTAGCATGGAGACTGGCATATCACAGGTGCCCATACGGTATGCATTTATCCATTCGACATGGCCGGCACCCTGCAAGGAGCTGGAGACTCAGAGATAACCAGGATGCCATCCATGAAGACCAAGGAGGGTCTTTGTTCATGGCAGCTGTCATAATTACAATACCTTCTGGAAACAGCCATGAGACACATGAACAAGTTATTTTGGGTGCCCAGAGTGCAAACTGTCTGACTTCTTTGAGAGGTTACAAATTCCCTCCTGGAGGAAAGAGGACAAGGACAGGTTAAGAAAGGGGACAGACTTACAAACACTCCAACCCATCCCTCCTTATTTAATCCAGGATCCTTGTAGACAAGTAGATTGTACCAGGAACAAGGCGTTCTTTGCCTCCCAAACAAATCAAAATCAAATCGTGAACTAAATTCTATAAAACAGCAGTCAGTAGTAGAAATCCTGGTCATGAGCATCAAAGTGAGATTATGAATGTGTGTGGAAATCCTCCAAAAGGTAAAGCTGGTCTATGATATTGCATAGCAATTATAATCTTGTATTACAATGACTATCCTTATTATTAATTAATATTGGGTAAAGGCTTCTTAACTTTGGCTCCCAATTATTCTAAAATATTTCGGAAGGATTTGAAAATTCTTGTCAAAACAGAATTAAGTCAGAGCAAATGTCTGGGGAAACAGGTCAAGCAAAGTGAAAAACCAAAAAGGCAAAAATGTGGACTCTCTTTAGTCAATTACAATTTTGTTTTGAGGAGGAAACTATCTACGCCTGCCTCTTAGCCCCTTTTCCCGTTTGCCCCAAGAATACTCACCAGCAGCATTGGCAGCTGCAGTATTTACCCCAAGATAACTTTGCCATGTAATACCTCACTTTTATTATTATTTTCGCATTGCTCTAGTCTATCAACCTTGGAAACAAGAGACATCATTCTATTTAGAGCATTCTGTTTATTTATAGCATACTGTACAAAATACAGTAATTCTTAATTGCCGAAAATGTCAAATCCTAAAAAACAGTAGCATTTCCACGCATAGTGTTAATATCCTTCTCAAACAGTTGTTGGCCAAAGATTCAATTGGTGAATTCTGATGTTAGTTCTGTTTAGAAATCACTCGAAGAACCGTTTTTGTCATTTATTTTCACACTGAAAATCAGTCAGATTTGCTTCAGCCTCAAGAGTGTGTTTACATAAAATTAAATGAGTTCCGGCAGTGAGCGGCACTATTTTTTTTTCTTAATGGGAAAGGGGTTAATTAACATACTGATAAAGTGGGCCTGTAGACACAATCAAGCATGTCATCTTAGGAAGGGACGTTCATATGAAACCCAGGTCTGTCACCGATTCATAGACTCAGGGACCAGGAGGGCAGAAGGTAGCTGCCCTACGGTGGTCATTAGACCCTGAGGAAACCAAGGCCCAGGGAAGCCAGTGGTGAATGCTGTAGGAGCCCCAGATAAGAAGGAATTCATGCTACATGCGGGGGTCAGAAAAAGAATCTCTCTGATCCTTAAGGAAAAGATAAGATTTCAATAGGACTAGAGGAAAGCAAGCAGGTTTCAGACAGTGGCAACAGGGGAGAAAAAGGAGGGAGGAAAACGAGGGGAAAGCACAGGACTTGCAGGGAACAGAGGGTCCCCCAGCATGTACAGTGCCAAGGGGAACCATGGGCACATCATAGAGAAGGCCACAAAGAGAATATTGGTACCGGGAAGATGAATGGTGACAGCAGAGGGCATTGAAACACCTACTAAGTGCTAGGAACTGGGCTACCACAGCCCTGCAGGCTGGATACTGTCATCCCCATCTTGCAAATATGTAACCTCTCACAAACATGTTCTTGAGGCTGAGTCTGGCTGATTTTCAGTGTGGAAATAAAATATAAAAACTGCTCTGAGTTATTTCTAAACAGAACCAACATCGGAATCATCTGAATCATCAGAATCATCTATTTTGGAAAAATCAGATCCACCAAATGAATTTTGCCAACAACTACTGGAGAAAGATGTTAGCATCACACGCAAGAACGTTACATTTTTCGGGATGTGATGTTTGCAGTTTTTCTGCAAATAAGGAAACTCTGAGGCAGAGAAAATATGTGCTGGAGACCACACAGCCAGCCAGTGCTGCAGCCAGGATGAGAGCCCAGGTGGTTTTCCGCCAGAACCCGGGCTCGGCCCATGTCTCTGCACACCTGTGGGCTCAGTCTGAAGGGAAGACACTTCTTGCTCTGTTACAGGCAGTCTTACCTTTCCTTATGCCTATGGTTCTCAGCCTGAGTGCACATTCACAGCACCTGTGAAGTTTTTAAAAAAACACCCAGGCATGGACCCCACCCTCAGAGATTTTTATCCAGTTGGTCTGGGATGAGCCCCAACACCAGTCATGCCTGGGGTGATTCTGGGGTGCAGCCAGGGTGCGAAGCACAGCTCCACAGCCCACAGACCCCCAGTTCCACTCTCTCACACTGACTTGTTTTCCCTGGCAGGCCATCCAGATCCTCATCGGCCTGACGCACATTTTCTTTGCAATTAACCCTGTCCTGTATCGCTGTATTTTGGTGAAGCCATGTTATACTGCAACCGGGATGTCAGGGTACCCAGTCTGGGGAGGACTATTCGTGAGTACAAGGCCATATGGTCTCCTTCCTGGGTCACTAGACTGGGACAAGAAGGGAGTGGAGGAAGAAGGAGCATGGAATCCCATTCCCAGTAATTTGACCCCATAGACTAGAGCCAGCCACCTACCTGCAGATACCCTAGAGGGTTAAAGATCCAACTACCCTTCCATCTCCCTGCCTCAGCAACACTCCCTGCCACTGCCACCCTCCCCATCTCCCATAGCCCCGACCCAGCCTCTAGGTAGTTGAATCACTTGTGGCCAGGAGTTTGAGATCAGCCTGGGCAACATGGCGAGACCCCTGTTGCTACAAAAATATAAAAAATTAGCTGGGTGTGGTGGCGTGAGCCTGTAGTCCCAGGTCTTTGGGATGCTGAGGTGGGAGGACCACCTGAGCCCGGGAGGTGGAGGCTGCAGTGAGCCACGATCACACCACTGTACTCCAGCCAGGGTGACAGAGTGAAAGCCTGTCTCAAAGAAAAAAAAAAAAAGAAATATCTCATAGGTAACTCAGAGTATGTAAAGTTGTGTGCTATAGACAGCATCTTCCTACCTACCAGTCACGAGAGTCAATTGTAAAATGTCCAGGAATTATGTAAAATGATTGTCAAACCATTTGGTAGCAGGAAGTTGCCCATGTTGGGTATACACATGACAGAAATCAACACATGCTCCAAATCAGGGCCCTTCCCTGCACTGCTGCCTCCTCATAAGGCAGATGTTAATCATTTACCAGCATGCCGTTAAGTGTATACCATCTTGCAGAGCTTAAATAATAATAATAAGTTGAACACTCACATGTCTGATTCCACTGAGATGAGGTCTCTAGAGTAGTCAAATTCATAAAGACAGAAAGCAGCATGGTGGTTGGCAGGGGCCAGCGTAAGTGGGTAATGGGGAGTTAATGTTTCATGGGAACAGAAAACACTAGCAAAACTCCTGAGTGCCCTTATACTCCCCATCAATAATCCTAACCTTGTTCTCTCACTTGAATTGTGTGACCCACTTGTAGATAGAGAGGGCAGGCATCATTATCCAGGCACATTTGCCAGATGAGGAGACCGAAGCTCAAAATCTTCCTCTAGCATTTATCATCCTCATAGCTGGAAAGTGCTAGAAGAAGGTCCTGAACCCAGGCTTCCCTCAGCTCAGGGCTCTCATAACTGAACAGAGCTCTTACTGCTTTTGATGTTCACGTTTCCATCACCTGCCTAGCAGCATCAAGTGCTAAAGAGGACTCTCCAGCTGGGTCCAGGATCACAGCAGATGAGGCCACAGCCCAGGTCTCCTATCTCCCAGCCCCAAGGCTCTACCCACCACACTACTCAGCCCCTGCTTTTCCAAAATCACAGTCAAGGATAGGGCAGTGTGAGGCCAAATAAGCAATAAATGCATTTGGGCGATGATATGTCCAGGCAGAGAACTCAAGACGAATCAGTCGAAAAATAATAATAATGAGATGTACAGCATCCTGGGACAAAAATTCAGGTTTTTAGGGGAAAGGGAAGTATTACTGTAGACCCACAGGAGTTTGAATATTATGGTATTTAGTATATTTGGTGCCTAACCATTGGGATAGTAAAAATGTTAAGAGGAAATAGACAGATTTGCACATTTTGTGAAACGAGGTGAACAGAACATAGAGATTGAGAAATGCATCTCTGAATGGACAGCTGTCCTTTTTAACATGCTGCACAATTGGTCATTCTTTTTCTCTTTTTTTTTTTTTTTTTTGTCCTCATAGTATATTGCATCTGGATCCCTCTCAGTATGGACTTCAAAGGACCCCAGCCCTTGTGTGGTGAGTCATAGTGCTGTCTTTGATGATCCCTGAATGTTAGAAATTGACTCTCTACCAAACACGAAGAAAGGGGACTCACAGTAGTGGTGTGCCCTGGGCCTGGGCCTGGGTACAGTGCGTTTCCACACCTTCTTCCAGTCAATCCCCACCACTCTATGAGGTTCTATTATCCCCATTTTTCCGAGGAGAAAATTGGAAAACAGAGAGGTCGGGTGGCTTGCCTAGGATCGCACAGTGAGTACACGGCAGAGCCAGGATTTGACCCCAGAGCTCTCTGATTCCAAAGCTGCTCCTTTTTACCTACGGCATTCACTACTCAAAAACTTACCTCTTTGGGAAACTCATGAGTATTTATACGCAGTGCCTCATGGATGCTCCAAATAAAACAGAAAGCCAGGTCTGAGCCAAACGAAAATGTGTGTGCATTTCAGCCATCTCTTTAAGATATTTTCCGCCATCCCATGGGGAGAAATGCCAGATATAGGTGAGGGGGAGGAAGGCAGCAAATCACACTGCCACGTGTGTACCTATGCAACAATCTTGCATGTTCTTCACATGTACCCCAAAACCTAAAATGCAATAAAAAAATAAATAAATAAAATAAAAAAGAAAAAAAAAACGACGTTTTACAGTTTAAAAAAAGAAAAGAAAAAATATATATGTTTTCCACCATCCTCTTTGTGTGGACCCAGAAGAGTGAGAGCAATGCCTGCCTTGAACAATTTAAAGTCTCACCCAAGAACACAGGGCCCAGAATTCCCTTGCGCCTTGGGGGCGTTATTCTCTGCTCAGCATCCAGCAAAGTATCTGGTCATGTTTTGATTTTCGCTGTGGCCTCTAAGAAGCTTAGGGATAAGTTTAGAGTTCCACAATGGCCCTCCTCTCATCTCCTTCCTTTTCAGGTCCTCCTTCCCCCTCTCCACTTTCTCTACGTGGCTTGTCATCTTCCTTCTGCCTTTTAATGGGAAAGCAGCGGGTCAGCTAGGGGCTGGGTGTCTAACAGAGGGTTTCCCAATTACCAGTCTCCAGTCTACAAGGCCAACCCCTGTGGCCCCACAGTTGGCCCCACAGTCTGCCTTGCTGCACCCCTTTTAGGAGGAGCAGAGTCCTCCAGACACCCCAGCATCAATCAAACTCACACCACCCCTTCATATCCCAACAGGACCAGGAAGTTCCAAATCCTCTGGGAAGTCCACTGCCCTCTCCAAGGCGTCTGCCAACACCTGGGGGCCTCCTAGTCCTCTCTTGCTCTGACATGTGACTTTCTATTGAAATAGAGAAACTTCCTTTTCTACTTCTGTACATCTTATAGCTGTCCTGGCCTCTGCCCAAATGTAGAACATGGTCCCTTTCTCTTTCATCTTTCTCTGTCTTCATCCCCATAACCCTCTTAAAGGGAAGCAGCTTGAGTGGGGGGTGGATAATGAATAATTCGATGATTTTGCCCTCTCAACACTGAACAGCCAATCCCTCAAAATTGAAGATGAGACTTTCAGGTTCTGAAAACCTTCCCCAGCCAATCCTACCAGCAGGCCCCAGCCTTCCACCACGGAAGCCAAGTCTACCCGACTCCCTTCCCTCAATTCAAGCTTGGGATCTCTGTTCATTTTCTCTGCAGAGCAGTCCTGCATCTTTGCCTTATCTCTTTCCAAATCTCATTTCCTACCCTCTGCTGCTTAGCAAGAAATCTTCCCAAACAAATACAGTCTCTGCCATAGAAGGATGCCGCACATTGATTAAGGAAGGATTTTGGGTGGAGGTTTGGGGGAAGGAGAGGATCAAGTAAAACAATAACAGGTACTAGGCTTAATACCTGGGTGATGAAATAATCTCTACAACAAACCCCCATGCCACAAGTTTACCCATGTAACAAACCTGGACTTAAATGAACAAACCTGGACTTTAACAAACATGAATTTAAAATGATTTCTCACCTCACTATCGCTGAAATAAACTGGCTTCTCCACCCTGCTTGGCCATCCTGTTTCTGCCCTGCCTTCTCGCTCCTCTGAATTCCCAAGAGTCCCCACAAGCTGGGCTTCACACTCTTCACACTCGGCTCCCTCTCTCCTCTCCCTCCTCTCCTGCAGGTGAGCACCAGCGTTGGCCTGAACGTCGTCAGCGCAATCTTGTCCCTCGGCGGGATCCTCATTCTCATTGCGGATCTGTGCACCTACTATACGATGGTGAGCATTTGACTGCCAGGGCCCCATGCTGCCAAAGGACCAGGAGAGCTTAGGAGGTTGCTTCCAGAGCAGAAAGGAATTGCCCCAGAATTCCATCCTAGTGTGACAACCACTACACCTGTAAGCTATTTAGCCCTCAACAAAATCCTGTGCCCTCTGAGGTGGCCATGATAAATCCCATTTCACAGTGAGGATGCTAAGACTCAGAGAGATGCAGCCAGTTGACCCCCCCCCCATCCTGTTCTCTGCTTGGAGGTAGCAGGTGGCCAGGTAAGCGGCCTGGACGGCTGCCACACTCAGACTCACAAGATCACCTGCCCCTAGGAGTCGTTATGGGATAGCCTTTCACACAAACAGGAAATGCTGATGCTACTCCTGGTCTTTTGGTGCAGGGGGAGGGGAGAGGGAGGCGGCAGGGACCTCCAGATGCAGATGCAAAGACAAGGGTTCAGGTGCAAGTTGTGTGTTTCAGAGGTTATTCTAGGAAACCTCACTAGAGGAGGGAAGAAATAAGCAAGGGGAGGAAGCCTCACTATAAAAGTGTTATCCAGCAAAGGCCTTTGGAGATGAACCCTCTGGGGACCTGGTAGCCAGAGAATGACATGCATCTTAGCTGTACCCTGTCGTAGAGTGAGGGGGCTGGGGTATTTAACCACCAGCTTCTCTCAATTATTGATCAAAAACTGCCCCTGGCCAGGCGCAGTGGCTCACACCTGTAATCCCAGCACTTTGGGAGGCCAAGGCAGGTGGATTGCCTGAAGTTAGGAGTTCAAGACCAGCCTGGCCAACATGGTGAAACCCCATCTCTACTAAAAATACAAAAATTAGCTGGGCATGGTGACACGTGCCTGCAATCCCAGCTTCTCGGGAGGCTGAGGCAGGAGAATCGCTTGAACCCCAGGGGTGGAGGTTTCAGTGAGCCAAGATCACACCACTACACTTCAGCCTGAGCAACAAGAGTGAAACTCTGTCTCAGGAAAAAAAAAAAAAACAAAAAAAAAACCCTGAGGAACATCAATTCCCTAGTGCTTCCAGTCTGCCATGATCATGGACAAAGGAGTCTCTTGTGGTCAAAGGAAGCCCTCAGTAAAGCCACACAAATGACAGTCAGGCAGCAGGCATGGAAATATGGGAAGGATGTCAGTAACATTGACACAGGACTGGAGGAGACCTGAAGAACAAGATCAAAAGTAGCTAGCTCCACAGCTAGCTACAATCTGATCCTCTCATGGGACTAACCAAGTGGGCCAGGGAAGGCTGGCAGGACACAGGGTCTTAAACCAGACGTGCCTGCAGGGGTGAAGGCAGTCCCTAAGAGGAGAGCTCCCTGCAGGCCCTGGGAAGAACCCTGATGCACAGGGTATAACTCAGTGTCTAGGGGATGTGGCAGCAAGGTGATGGCCTCTAAAGTCCAACACGATGCAACAGGATGTCCCAACAAGGGAGTGGATTGTGGTCACGCGGAACCAAGAGCGCAACAGCTACAAATCCTAAAGGTGGCCATTTGGCAATCAGGGCCTCTGTCATTGAAGAGCATACTAGCATAGTGTAGCACAAAGGCACTGGAGTCCAACAGGCATTCCAAGCCCTGGGCTCCCCACCTGCTGCTGCAAAGAAAGAGTGTGTAGGGATGAGAGGAGCTCAGTGACCTCTCCCACCTTACAGTGGGCAAGGACCATGCCCAGAGCACACCGAGCTGTGTGGGGCCCCTTCAATCCTGTCTTAGCTTCTGTCTTGGCAGAAGCCCTTGAAGCTCCAAGGACGCATCCCAACCTGCCAAGGGAAGTATGAGGCAGGGATACTGGAAGAGGGCTGAGAAAGCCAGGAGCCAGGCAGAGCTAATGACCCTGACTCAGCTGGTGTCTATCGCCCTGGCCCCAGGAGAGGAGCCCAGAACCTCACACAGGGTTTCCTAGCCAGTGCACTTGTTGAAATGTCTCAGTTTGGGTTCCTGCCAGAAGCAGACTTTGAGACAAGTAGTTTATTTGGGAGAGGAAGCAAACACCAACCTAAGGGCTGAGGGAGCTGGGGTATTTATACACCAAACCCTAACAGTCATGGAGAGAGGGATGTTCTCAAGGAGCACTCATTCCCTGGAACTTTGAACCTGTGCAAACAGCAAAATGGGCTCCAGGGGCCAGAGAGAGCCCTGAGGCAAAGGAATACAGGTGCTGGCAGTTGAAGTCAGGCGAGTGACTAAAAGGGTAAGGCAAGGGTATATAAAATGTGTGCCCCCAGCATCTGCTCCAAAGAGCCACGTGCAGAGAGGGTCTCAGGCCTTCCATGTGAGGTGTGTGGCACTCCAGATGTGGACTGTCACCTAGACGGTTAACCCAAAGGACTAAAAACCTCCCATTTCTCTCTGTCTCTAGGTAGAGGTAAAGACAATTTTTGGTGGTCTGCTCCCCTTTGCCCTCCTGGAGTTCATCCTCACTTGTGTGGTCTCATATTTTGGGTGCCAGGCTACCTGCTGCAAACAATATGGGGTAAGTGTTGGACTCTGTTCCAAGAATCAGAGCAAGCTCTGGGATTGGTTGTGGGCTGTAGCAAGAGGTAACCAGAGATCTGGAGAGATGAGGCCTGAGAGAGGCTCTATCAGTTAAGTTTTGCTGCATAGCATCCTACCGCAGAACTTAGTGACTTCCGGTTATTTAGCTCTTCATTCTTCACATCATCAGTTTGAGCTATGATCAGTGGGTAGCTCTTCTGTTGGCCTCAGATGAACTCACCCTTGAATCTTGGCTTGGGGACGGTTAGTCTCCAGGGTCCTTCGTGAAATAGCTCATCTCCGCTCCCCACATTATCTCATCCTCTGGTAAGCTCACCTGAGCTTCTTCATGGGGAGCTGGGTTCTTAGAGTAGCAAGACACAGCAAGCCCCCATAGGCAACCACTTTAAGTCCCTGCTCGTGTCACATTTGCTAATGTCTCACTGGCCACAGTCAATCACATGGCTGAACCCAGATTCCACGAGTGGAGCAACAGCTCTACCTCTTGATAAGAGGAGTTACAAAGTCACCCAGCAAAGGCTGATGAATATAAGGATTTGTAACTAGCATTGCAGCCTACAACAATGCTTGCCTCTGGCCACAATTAACTCAGAGTTGTTCAGGATGTAAAGCATGCTCAGCCCATATTTTGGATGCCCAAATATCCCATCTAATCATGGCATGGCATCAGTCTTGAAAACTAGGATCCAAATCAGATCTAGATGTGACTGAGGATTTGGGGGTATTGCTCTTCTTGATCCAGAAACCTATGAACTAAAAGCAAGTCCCACCCCCATATATCCAACATACTTTAGTGAGAGAAAAATAGGATAAATAGAATTCTGTTCTTTCCCCATTCAATAAGGAAAAGAACAGAAGCACAAGATTGTCACTGCTCCATAATGATTCTGAAATCCTATGGGGGCACGTATTGTCCTACCCTGGGGGAAGAGAATGTTTCTTGATTAGGAGTCAGTTTGACTCTCTAGAAGACTCTGCCCATGCCACTGTTCTCTACTGCTTCCTGAGAGGAGCTTTCTAATCCATTGTTCTCCAGGATCTTGACTCCACCCTCTGGACTCTTGGCTCCACCATCAGAAACATGTTTTCTTTTTTCATACGAAAAGGCCTATATTTCCCATTTTGCTTTTTCAACCTGATTCCTATATTAAGTGAGACCTAAAGGTCTTTTTGCGGTTTGAGCAATTTCAGTCAGATCTGGTCCAAGTTGGTGATCCTGTTACTAATACAATTGCCTTAAAACTCCAAGGGTGTTTTATGAATTCGATTATGGCTTTCACCATCTGATAAGAGCCACACATGAGACTGCTCTAGACATACTTCTCTTTCTAAATCTGCCAGTGTCTATTTTGGGATTAGGCTTCTATGAGACAAATACTTTAAAGTTCTCATTTTGTCTAGCTGAAAGGGTCTAAGAAGCAGTGATTAGGCTTTCAAAGATCTTAACAAAGGGCTGTGTAGACACAACCTTGTTTTGATCTTTGTTCTTAGCCCTAGTTTTACTTTGAATGTTATTTATCCTTTGAGGACCTTGGAAATTAGAGACAATTTTGTTTTCTAACTTATCAAGTCCTGGGCCCTCTGCTTGGCCTCTAAATACCACTTGCAAACTAAATCATTCCTTCTTTATCCTCTCACTTTCTTACAGCAGTGTATCATACGCAGCCAGGAGCACCCAACTGACATTTTCAATATTCTGCCTGATCTCCTTAGCCAAATCCAAATGTTATTAGATGCATATTTTTGTCTTCTAAAATACAACCGTGCTCCACCACTATATAATGTGGGAAATCAGTTCTCCACTCTGCTGCGGCAGTTTCCGCTCCCCTTTTGCAGCCTCCTCCAGCAATGAGATCGCCATTTCTCCAGCCTTTGCTAGAGGCTTACTCACAGCTTCTCCAGACCCACCTGCCACCCAGTCCCAAACCCTATGCATGTGTCGGATGATTGCTATCTTACTTCTAGCTAACAATTTCTATGTCAATTGGCTTTTGTCCTGTATCAAACAACCCTAAAACTTGATGGCTTACTCAACAACCACTTATTTAGCTCATGATCCCCTGGGTCTGCTGGGCAGTTCTTCTGACCTCTGCTGGACTTGCCATGAGTCTGCAGTCAGTTGGTGAGTTGCCTCGTGGCTGGATGATATTGAGCAGTCCCACACGGGCGTCTGGCTGTTTGCAAGCTGGCAATCAACAGGGCCAGCTGGGCCACTTGTATTTCATTACCCAGCAGTCAGGCCAGTCTTTATGTTCACTGTTCCAAAGAGCAACAAGAGAAAGCAATCTGCAATGGGCAAACACTTTACAGGTCACATTTACTGTTGTCCCCTTGGCCAAAGGAAGTCACATGACCAAGCCCAGGATCAGGGAGAGAGGGTCTACCTAAGGGTATGGAAGCAGGAAGGAGAAGAAGTTTTGGCCACTTTTCGCTGTATACTACAGAGGAAGATGATGACCACATGTCTTTTGTCTTTCAGAATACAACAGGGATTCCAGCCATATTCAGTTTAAACCCATCCAGTACTACCACCATCCCTGTCAATGCTACCACTGTTCCTGTCAATGTGACCACTGGCCCTGCCAACACTACCACCAATTCTGTCAATGCTGTCTACGACAACAATGTACCCCCTGAACCCTCCTATCAAGGAATAACTGATTTGCCCAAAGCTAGATGACACGGGATGCCTGTCTTCATAACAAGAGAATGCACTGCAGTGGTATCTTTCCTCCTCCCTGAAACTCCCATGCCCATGACCCTAGCCTTGCTGCCAGACTGAAATGAACAAGCATTTCCTCTCCTCTTCACCCCAACCTTCATTTTTGTTATTGATGCCTTTTTTTTAATTTATAAATAATTTTCCTTTGGTTCTTGATATCTTTTAACCTTGGCGAAGTGTAGAGTGCATTTTTATTCCATGGTTCCTGATGTGTGCTCACGGCTGAAAAACCAGTTCTAAACCAGGGCCTCAGCCATGAAATTCTTGTAGGTCCAACTTCTGCCCAGTCCCCGGCTCTAACTGTGACACAGTTCTCCCCCACAGAAAAGGGGGAGCAATGTAGAGTGTGTTCAGTATTCCCTGGTGTGGGAGTGGAGGAAAACCTTTGTGACCTAGAGTTAGATGAAGAGTTTTTAAACAAGACACCAAAAATACAATTCGCCAAAGGAAAAAAATCAGTAAGTTGAACTTAGAATTAAAAACAGTTGCTTTTACTCCAAGAATGTTATGAAGAAAAAGAAAAAGAAAAAAAAGATGCTTTGTTAAAGATCTTGCAAAGATAAAAAGTCACAGCCTAGGAGAAAATATTTGCAAGTCGTATATCTGACAAAGGACACATTTCCACAATATATAAAGAACTGTCTAAACTCAACAGTATGAAAAAAATCTAATTACAAATTAGACAAAAGGCTTGAACAGAAGCTCTGACAAAGAGAATATAGGATTGCGAATAAGCATACGAAAAGATGTTCATTGTCATTAACCAGTACAATGAAACACCACTACACACCTGTTAGAATGGCTGAAATAAAAAATACTGATAATACCAAGTGCTGGTGAAAACACAGAGCAACTGGAGGTCTCAGATGTTGTTAGAATATCAATGGCACTGCTACTCTGGAAAACAACTTGGCTGATCATTATAAAGCAAAGTATACACTGACCATATGACTCAGCAATCTCACCCCTGGGTATTCATCTCAGAGAAAATAAAACTTACTTTGACACGAAATGTGAATAGCAGCTTTATCTGTAATAACCAAAACCTGGAAACAACCTAAATATCCTTCAGTGGATAAGCAATGGAAAAGCAAACTGTGCTATGCCCATACAATAGAATACTTCTCAGCAGTAAAAAGGAACAAGCTATTGATACTGTGGAGGAGGCAAAACATTACCTCTACCTATATTTGCTTCTGTGTGTTATTGATGTCTTCTTTCTTCGTTCATAAATAATTTTCCTTTGGCTCTCGGTACCTTTTAACTTTGGCACAGTGCAGGGTGCATTTTTGTTCCGTGATTCTTGATGTGTGCTCACTGTTGAAAAACCAGTTCTAAATCATGCTATAATAGGTTTTCAGCTGAGGCTCTTTAACAAAAAGACAGGTTAACAAGAGAAAAGCGGTTTATTAACCCACGCAGCACACATCACCTGGAGAAAACCTCAAGGAAAAGTAACTCAAAACAGTTGCTTAGAATCTGCTTACATAGCATCTTCCGCAAAGAACAACGGATTTGTAGTGAAATGACGGGACAAAGGAAAGCAGTTTTAGGCTTCCAAAGGCAGGAAACTGCGGGAAGTTAGATATATAGAAAGATAAACTAATGGAGTAAGGTTTCCAGTTTCCTCTGGAGCCATCTCTGGGCTAAGAAGAGTCTAGAGTCTTCTCCAGTAAAGGAGAATTTATATCCTGCCTTTAGGCAGAAAGGGAAGAGGAAGGAGGGAACTTTGCCTGCATTTGCTTTTTCTTAATTGCTTTCAGCTTGAAATGCTTTTTATGTCAAAGAGGTATATTTGGGGGTGACATAATCTGGTGTCCTTCGATACACACAACAATTTGGATTTCAAAGACATGAGTGAAAAAGCCAATCTCAAAGTGTTGCATACTGGTGATTCCACATATATAATATTCTCATAATGACAAAATCACAGCCAAAAAGGAAGGAATTAGAACATCAAGAATAATAGCAATCTCAATAATTATAATAGCAACAACCCCTGCAACGGATTGAAATGCATGGCTCATCATGTTCGAAAAGAAAAAAACAAAAAACTCTGTCATCGTCTTTGGAGATTGCTTGAACACACCTATTATTCTAAAAACTGGTAAATAACAGGAAGGAATCAAGCATTCCCATAAGGAAGAGCAAGGAAAGAATCATTTAGCCTAGAGCAGCCAGTACCAAGGAAGATAAATAGGTCATCAGCTGGGATAGCACAGCAGCAGGCGAGGAGAGGGTGGAGCTTAGTACTGCGCTTAGAGTCTGGATATTTCCATTTGTTCCTGCTGTTCCTACTTCTTAAAGTTCTGCATGCTTTGCTTGGTCTGGGCCTACAGGGTTGCTGATGTGAGCGATGACTGTAAAGAAACAGACCGCTACACTTAGCTATTGCCATAAACGTTCTGTAAAACCACAGTGGCAACCCACAAGAAGTGTTTATTTTTGCTCATGAGTGTATTGTTGGCTGGGCAGCCTTCCTGATCCGATCTGGGCTTGGCGGGACGCATCCATGTGCTTGTGGTGTTCACTGAGGGTCAACTAGGTGGCCTTGCTGACCTTGACTGCCTATGTGGGGCCTCAGCAGGGACCACTGGGCCAGCTTGGCTACACTCCAGGTGTCTCATCCTCCTGAAGGCTTGTCCAGGAGTGGTCCAAGGGGGTTGCAGAGCTCCAAGGGAGAACGGAAGCAGCTCAGACCTGACACATGGCCACTTCTGCCGTGTTTTATTGGCAAAGGAAGCCGCAAGGCAGCTTAGTTTCAAGGATTTGGGAAAAGAGACTCCATCTCTAGCTGCAAGAGGTGTGGTGCTAGTTCAGCTGAGAGCTGGCCCAGCCACGGGCATCCGGACCATTCCCTGTGGCATCATGAGCCCTCAGGTCCTGTGTCATCTCCCTGACTTTGTACAGAATCATCAGGGGCTATTTTGGTGAGAACTGGAAACCAGAAACTGATGAACAAATCGCTCCACATGCATGTACCACTCCAATATCACACTATGTGCATAGTCACACTAACGTGTTCACACACACGTGTGCACACATTCACACACATTCATATATGCACACACTCACTTGTGTATACACACATGCACACACATTCACACTCATGTATGTGTACACACACATGTGTACATGCGCACACATACAGTGTGCATGTGTGCACACTCACCCATATGTGTTCTCACGCATATGGGTGCACAGGCATATGTGTGCACACACAATCACGGTCACACTCACATGTATGCACACACCTTACACTCTCACATGTGTATGCACACACCCACATACACATGTGCATGCACACGTGTGCACACACACTAACACACACCTACACATCCACACATTCACACTCACACCCTCACATACATTCACATTTACACACACACGTGTGTGTGCACATTCACACCCACCGTCACACATTCACACACCCACACACATGCACACACATCCACACATTCACACACATCCACACTCACATGCACACACACATGCTCAGATGTGTTCACCCACATGTGCACATGCTCATACCCTCACACACACTCGCCCCTATGCTCACACACTCTGCCCCTGCTTTGGGAAGTTGTGGGCTCCCTGGCCACCCATCTAACATTGGACAAGTCCAGTGGAAGAAAGACAGGTGGCCTCTGATTACTCCGTTTCCCCCACCCAGCGGCAGAAAGATGAAGGCTAGTGTGGCTCCCCATCCCAGCTCTGATGCTAACATGGACCACTTGCCTGTCTGGCCCTCAGTTTCCCCTTCTGTAGATTGTAGGAAGGGATCCAGATGTTCTCCCAGGGCCTTGTGGGCTGGTGGCAGATGATTCCACGAACGGCCTCCTCGGGTCCCTCAGTTGGGCCTTACAGACAGAGTCAGGAGGGACCTGAGAACTTCCCAGAGGCAGCGGCTCACAAGCGGAGCGGATTTCCAAGCCCCACGTGAATAGCAAACTTTCACATGAATATGTGTGAACTCAGGAGAGTAGGCTGCGGAGAGCAGAGGCAGCGGGGAGCGGGCAGCGGCACAGCAGCGGTGGCAGCCCGGTGAGTACCCTCCGCCCTTGCAGGGCCTTAGTACAGGCCGCCCAGCCCCGCACGGGCACCTGGGATCCCTGGGAAAGGAAAGGTCGAGCTGCTCATCACAGGAGGGTGCGGCCCTCCCCGTGCGGCTTATCCCCCACCTGGCACGAGGGGCTGGAAAGCTCCCGGGGCCATCTGAACGCCCGGCCTCTCACAGACAGGGAACCACCAGCCCAGAGCCCGTAGGTCCCGTTGCACAGGTGGGTGGGGAGCTTGTGAACAGAGCTGCTTCTGGCTCCTCGTGAATAAAGGTGATGCACAGAGATGCTCACAGGACGAGTCCTGGCTGCTCAGGGCGGCTCACCTAGGAGTCTGGGGCAGCCTGTCACTGAATGTCCTGAGCTCAGTTTCCTCATCTGCAAGATGGGAATACTACTAGTACCGACCTTATAAGGTTGTTAACGATAATAGAAGCTAAAAGGCATGGCATGCCTCCTGTGTACCACGCACTGTGCTAGGCACAGGTTGGGTGTTAACTCCTTTAAAACTCACAGCAACCACAGAAGTCTGACACTGGGGCCGTCGGCGGCTTTTCTGACTGTGCTCAGACAAGACAAGCAGCTGTGATCTAGTCAGTGAAGTGTTCAGTCCTGTGTATGTCACAACTTGATTTGCGGCCCCTCGGTTCTCAGCCCCGGGAACATGGTAGGGAGAAGGGTGTCTGGAGGGCTTTTCCTCCCTTTTCCCACTGGATTTCCCTCCTCCTCCCCCGCCAGCCAGCTAACTGTGGCTTCTGCCCTCTGTAAGGAGGAATAATGGGGAAAGAGGGGAACGGGACAGGAATGCGTTACCTGATACTGTTGGAAGCTAGCATCACCTCCCTGAGGCTGGAGGTCAAGCGGATTTCTCTGCAGGGGTATTTCATGGGCTTTATGGAGATATCCCCCCACACTTGGGGTCTCTCTCCTGCGTACCCCCCACAAAATTCCTCCCTCAACTCAGGAATCAGGCAGGTCCATTCTGCAGGCTGTACATTGAAATCTCTCCCAGCAGTCTCCTTAAAGCCAGCCTCTCTATCTTGTCTTAAGATGAAGAAGGATGCATCCCCTCCCCCGTATACAGTGCTCAGATGATTCTGTAAGTTCTCTCCCAAAACCTACTCTCAACCCCTACTCCTAACCCCGTGGGGGAGGAGGAAAGGCATCTAGCAGGTTCTCAGCCATCTGCTTTCCACCCATCCCACTGAACCGTCTACGTCACAGTTCACTTCAGTACCCGGTCTCAGCTGAAACTCCCTTGAACATCTCTGACAAATACATCAGCCTTCAAGGCCCACAGCCTGTCCCATTCTCCCACACTGCCATTTCTAGCCCTTGCTTTACTGGTCTGCAAAATGGGCTGAATAACACCTTATGGGCTACTGGATGGTTTTATGATCTCATACAGGTGACGGCTCTTTATAAACTGTAAAAGGGCTGTGCCTATGAGGGCTGTTACTACCACTGCCCATTCATTGGGTGATGGCATGCATTTTGGTGATGTCTGGGTACTTTCTGTGTCTGCTACAGGCAGCTGTTCCTCTAATGGGTACCTTGCAGATTCCTAGAGGCAAGGGGCAGTGGCGTTCCCTCCTCCACCTGCCTGTCCCTGACACACTCATTTGTGTTTTGGGAGTGCTGACTGATGGGTTAGTAAGAAAAAGAGAGTCCTCCTTCTGGGTAGCACAGAGCCGGGGCATGGCCTCTGGAATGTGGCAGATGAGTTAGTCCCTGGCCCCAGGGTGCCGAGGCACTGGTAGCAGCCACAGAGGGCGGGGAAGAGAGAGGAGTTTACATTCTCAGGAACTATGTGGCACTTTCATGCTCATGATTTCACTCACCCTGCCTGTTGACAGAGAGCCTATTTTTGTAGGCGTTTTCTCTTCCCCTGAGGATCACAAGGTCTCTGTTTTCCAAATTTCTCACCACTTGCCCAGGAGAGATGTTGTTAATTAGGCACATGGGGCTGCACAGGCCCAGTATGATCTGAAATCCCAGGAGGAGCCCAGCCGAACCACATGAGGCTGGTCCTTCCCCACCCCAGAAGGTCCACAAACCTGCCCACACACCACTGCGGGTCTCAGACACAGTGTTCACCTGTCCCTGGTGAAATGACACCTATATGGGCAGAGTGGTGAGGGGCTCGCCAAGTTATGATTGTCTCATTTAAAGGTTTTGTGTTTGTATCTTAAAATCACATCCCTCCTACCTCTTTGGTGTTCAAATAGCCTTCCTAGATGATGGTGAAAACATGGATGACTTTTTGCAGGAACTTACTTGGGAAAGTAGAAAACTCTCAGGCTCATCTGGTCCCAATGTGTTTCTCATCTGCTGATCTGTGAACACCAAGCATTTCAGAACCATTTCTCCCTTTGTACAAAAGTACGAGCATTTGTTCCCTCATCTGACAAAGCCAGGACTCAAACCCAAAAGTGCAGGAATTCCATACGTCCACACTCTTCCTACTGAGAGAGAGGAGTCTGGGTCCATTCCAGCTCTGCCACTGAGGCTCTGTCCAACTGGAAGGAAAACACTTGTCCTCTCTGTACTTCTGTTTTCTTATCTCTAAATCACACCAAATAATCCATGACTGCCTCTCCCTTGGAGTGAGATGTGGGCTGTACATGCTCATTGTTACATCCGAGGAAGGGAAAGACCAAGGGGCGAGGTGGGTCCCCGTCAGCCTGAGTTCACCATCCTGCCGTCTGTGTCTCTCATCCAGTGTTCATGGATTCCCGGGCCAGACAATCTTTAGCAATGTCCTCAGAAACTCTAGCGTCTCCCCAGATATGTCCATTTTGTGCTACTGTAACAGAAGACCTGAGACTGGGTAATTTATAAAGGACAGAAATGTATGCCGCACAGCTCTGGAGGCAGACACATCCAGGATCGAGGCGCAGCAGCTTTGGTGTCTGGTGAGAGTCCCATTCCTCACTTACTTCCACAGCCATGCCTGGTGGCTGCATCTTCCGTGGGGGACGATGCTGCCTCCTCACGTGGCAGAGGGCAGAAGGGAAAAGGACCTCAGCTAGCTCCCTGTCTGCCTTTCATAAGGCACTAATCCCTTCACACGGCAGAGCCTTCAGGACTTCACGTTTTCCAAAAGGCCCCACCTCTTAATGCCATCGTGATGGAGATTCAGTTTCGACATGAATTTTGGAGGGGACACAGACTGCAGAAGGTGGAGAGGGAGAAAGAGATTGAAGAAGAGAGAAAAAGGAAAGAGAAGGAGCATGGGGCAAGGGAGATGGGGACATCAGGGTAGCAGGCTCTGCGGCCCCCTGTGTTGGCTTCATGTCCTCCCTGAAGCCATCCCTGAGTTCCGAAATCAGGAACGCTTCTCCCTGCATCCACCAAGCCTCCTACCTTGCCAGTCTCTGAGAGCAGGACATCCAGCCTTAATTCATCAGCTGGGCACAGTGGCTCATGCCTGTAATCCAGCACTTTCGGAGGCGGAGGTGGGCAAATCACGAGGTCAGGAGATCTAGATCATCCCGGCTAACACAGTGAAACCCAGTCTCTACTAAAAATACAATAAATTAGCTGGGCGTGGTGGCACACACCTGTAGTCCGAGCTATCAGGAGGCCGAGGCAGGAGAATTGCTTGAACCCAGGAGGTGGAGGTTGCAGTGAGCCAAGATTGTGCCATTGCACTCCAGCCCAGGCGACAGAGTGAGACTCCAGCTAAAAAAAAAAAAAAAAAAAAAAATTCATCATTACATTCCCAGCCCCTGAACTTGGTGCTTATAGATAACTCTCAATAAGTGTTTCTTGGGCTCAATTACAAATTTCTCTTCCTCCTCCTGCTAAACTCTTAAGCCCTCTGAGGGTATGGACTTTGTGTTTTACTCCTGTATGTACTCCTTCTGGGAAAATGTAACAATCAGGAGAAACTCAGTTACACTGCTGTAACAAACAGCTCAGTGGCTTAACGCAGCAAAGGTTTATTTCTTCCTTCTGTGCCATGGCTCCTGGGGACTCTACTCACTCAGGGACTTCTTGCCTGGAACACTGATTGTCACTGTGACAAAGGGAAAAAGAGTCCTACAGAGTCACCGCTGACACCTGAATGCTCCACCCTGAAGCTGTGGGTTTACTTCCCCTCGCATTTGTTTAACCAAAACAAGTCACGTGACCATGCCAAACTTTAAGACACCCAGAATGTGAGGGCTGGAACGATGGGGAAATAACAATTGTGTCTGGCACTGGAGGTGGCAGTGAGGGGCACAGATGCAGACTTTGGAGATGACCAAACTTGGACTTGAACCCCAGCCCAGCCATTTCATGGCCATGTCACCTTGAGCAAGTCCTTTCACTGCCTGGAACCTACATTATCACATTTGTAAAATGAACTTTGAGGAATGATCAAAGGACCAGTGTCAGGCTAAGAAATAACATATTTGAAGTGCCTAGAAAAGAGTAAGGTCTCAAAAAATGTTTATGATAAGCTCTTATTTACCTAGCACCAATATAGAAACATTGTGGGGTTCTACCACTGTGAATTGGTGTAGAAAGTTCCAGAGAGGGCTGGGCACTGTGGCTTACACCTGTAATCCCAGCACTTTGGGAGGCTGAGGTAGGCGGATCACCTGAGGTCAGCCTGGCCAACATGGCGAAACACCAACTCTACTAAAAATATAAAAATCAGCTAGGCGTAGTGGTGCATATCTGTAATCCCAGTTACTTGGGAAGCTAAGGCGGGAGAATCACTTGAACCTGAGAGGTGGTGGTTGCAGTGAGCCAAAATCACGCCACTGCTGCACTCCAGTCTGGGTGGCAGAGCGAGACTCCATCTCAAAAAAAAAAAAAGAAAGAAAGAAAGGGTGCAGTGACTCACGCCTGTAATCCCAGTACTTTGGGAGGCCAAGGCGGGCGGATCATAAGGTCAGGAGATCGAGACCATTGTGGCTAATATGATGAAACCCCATCTCTACTAAAAATACAAAATAGTAGCCAGGCATGGTGGCACACACCGGTAATCCCAGCTACTTGGGAGGCTAAGGCAGGAGAATCGCTTGAACCTGGGAGGTGAAGGTTGCAGTGAGCCGAGATCACGCCACTGCACTCCAGCCTGGGTGACAGTGCAAGACTCCATCTCAAAATAAAAAAAAAAAAGAACATTCCAAAGAAGTAAGTGATGAAATAGGATCATTAGCAATATCATCTTGAAACCCTACCCAAAAGTGAACCCCAATACATCCACAGCAC